ACTGGCCTGTGTAACAGGGGTCAATGTCAATAAGTATATTCAGGTACACATGTCCTTGGCATGTCAGTTAAGTTGCTCAATTATACACACATGTATTATAGTAAACAACTTAATAGTTTGAAATGATATTACTTACTTGGCAAGATTTTACAGACATTTACAGAAAAGAAGATTTGTATCAAAGTCTGTTTGATGATCCTAATAATTGTTCTGAATTTTTTCATTTCTAGATATTTTTTTATTTAAGTGACCCTTTGAATGTATGCCAATTAAGACCTGTTTTATTGATGTAAGTTCAGTTTTTGTAGTCACGCCAAAAATGTATTGGAGTACAACTTAAAAAAGTAATCCAGTTTACATCAACATTTCATAGGACATAAAAGCAAGCATAATTGCGGTCAAATAGATAAATATATGTAAGTACTAAATACTGAATCTCAAGGGTTTTATATCGAGTACACCTCATTATAAATGATTAAAAAATAGGTAGAGGTGATTAAATATGTATTTGAGGTGAAAAAGTAAGAACACATTTTTATCATGATGCGCTTTTGGGTTAACTGTAAGTAATCTTATAGTACGAGATATTATAATAGGAGTTGAAACTTTTAGAGTAAAATGTGTACATGTTTTTTAGAATGTAAGTGATCTATTGTGATTCATTATTTCCCATGATTGAGATTTTTAGATGTCATAGCGATCCAATAAAAGACACTTTATATTGATCTTTGCTATTTATCTATTGCTGAAGAGTATTCGAGACTTAGGGGAGCCATCAAAAGTTCAATGTCTGATAGGAAACTAAATAAATCTAGTTTTGAGTTGGACCCCCCCCCCCTCCCCCTCAAAACTAAATACAATGAAAGTTGATCGCAGACTTTTCACATGTTTTGGCGACTCAATTTGGACTTTCATTGGGCCAGTACAATAACTTATTTATGATTCTTAAAACATGTGCCAACAACAATAGGCATAATATTCCATGTTGCATGCATCTTGGTGAAGAAGGCATCTGGTAAAGTCTTTATTTTTAAACCATTCCAAGGCATTTCAAGTCGAAATTGCGAAAAATTTAAATGTTGAAATTTGTCGGATAGCAAACTGAAATAGCTTTGACCCCCTCCCCCCCAAACTAGATTTATTTAGTTTTCTATCAGACATTGATCTTTTGATGCCTCCCCTTATATAAATCATAGCAAAGATAAAGAATGTCAAATGTAAGTTGTATGTCATATTTTCAAAAGGACATATGACAATATTTCCCATATTATGCCAGTTTTATCACCAGGAAATATAATTGAGATATCTAATCAAATAGGGAAGTTATTGAAGATTAGATGCTTTCAATTTGCATCCTTTAAAAAACTTTGAAACAAAGCATCTTTTCTACTTGAAATAAAAGCCATTTCAAAAGCAAATATAAAAAAAACTGTATTTTAATACAAAAAACAGTTTTCTTCAATATGTACTGGAATATATAAAGGTTGTCAATGTGAATTTTTTAAAATTCAGATCATGTTTCTATTTTATTTTGGCTGTTTGTAGTGTACTTTGGATACCTAATTGAGAGTAAACAAAATATTTAAAATCCTGATTTCATTTTAAATATAAAATAGAACACATCTTTGAAAAAGAACAAATTCAAAAGACTGCACGTTGAATATACACGAATATACATGATTATGTTTTCAGACATCAACTTAAATTGAAAGGATGAATATTCAGGTTAATCTGACATAGAAAATGATGAGAAAGTTGCCCCTTTCATTTTGATGCCAACACCAAGACAATGTGACATGAAAATGTGGCAAAGTGTTATATTTATGTCACCACCAATAAAATGTGACACAGGTGTCAAATTAATGTCACCACCAATACAATGTGACATAGTGTCAAATATATGTCACCACCAAGAAGTGTGACACATTATATGTTATATGCCAATGTTCCTTATGACATTTACTGCCAATGTTAGCATCAGTGTTTAGCATCTGTGACACTTGTTACACTTTCCAGGTAACATTTTGCATTGTTTTATTTTTTGAGAACACCACTTGAATTAAGTTCAAATCAATATAAAATAGATTCATCTTGCACTGTTATCTCGTGTAATAATTTGACTAAATGCTTTGTATGGCCGATAGTTCAATTGCACTGTTATCTCATGCATTTTATGGCCGATAGTTCAATTGCACTGTTATCTTATGTAGTAACCTGACTGAATTAATCATTGACTCATGATGTTTGTCACAACAGCAACTCATATATACTTCATATTTACTTTATTTATCAGTGGACTTTGGATTTTATTATTGCAAATTCATATCATTGGAGAATATTATCCCACATGGTACCTGGTCGTACTACTGTGTGCCGAGCGATTCAAGAGCTTAAGCTTTTAATATAATTTCATTAAGTGGCAAAAGACTGCAGCAGGTAAGAGAAAATAGAAAAACTAATTTAAAGAATATAACAATAGGAGTTACAGGTAATGAAATTATAGTGATTTCTTTGTATAAAAGTGGTTGTTAAAATGAGGTTTCGTATTACATGGAAGTCAATGGGGAATAAATTGTTGTGCTTATTTTTCAAGTCAAACCATTTCTTCATCTAAGAACTACATGTATAATATATTTATATAACTTTTATTGGCCTATTGTATCAAACATAATTACACTGAGTCACAACTACTCCTAAGAAGTCTAACTTAAACCTGCATCTGCAGAGTAATGTAAATATACCATTTTAATATCATTATTTTTTAGATATATTACATCTTGCAAAGGTATTGTACCAAAAATGTAGTATGGAGTTTAATTGCAAAATTGCCCCTTTCTAAGACAGATTCAACCATATTCAGTGGCATATACTGCATGGCAGGCATTGCCTGTAGGTATGGATTAAATTTGGAGAGACAGTCACCATGGAGATAAATTCTCATTCAAATGGTGTTTATTCAGTTATTATACACCGGAACAAGATTCATGTCACGTAATATGTCAGTGATATGTTGCTGTTCAGTTTTTTTTTATTGCATTTTCCTGAGAGCTAAGTTAAAATATGCATAATGGGAATTACAGTGCTTGCTATACCAAGTGATACCTTGATAATACAAGGGCTGATCAATTTTTGCAAATATTAGTATTCATTGAACTTAGTTGAAACAAAGAACAACCTGTCTAATCTAAAAACGTGTTCAGATTGGCAGGTGTTCACAATTAAAGGTTTCCTAATCTATGAATCAGTGTTAAAAATGGGACCTAGAAAAGGTGTTAAGAAGTGTTCGGATTAGTGAGTTGTTTGGGTATATTGGTTTCACTATACATATGAACTTGCGATTATATCATTGAAATATAATGTAATGTATCTCAAAAATGATTCTGTTATGGTTTGTTAAGGTATATTCAAGTCTTTATACTTGACATCAATAAGTAGAACAAAATTGGTGTTTTCTCTACTTATTGATCACCCAACGTATTGACTGATAACTCAAGGTTCCCCAAGCTGTGGCATGTAATTTGCACATTTTCAAATGTAATTTGCAGATTTTCAAATGTAATTTGCAGATTTTCAAATGTAATTTGCAGATTTTCAAATGTAATTTGCAGATTTTCAAGTGGGTGGCATGTAATTTGCAGATTTTCAAATGTAATTTGCAGATTTTCAGATTTTCAAATGTCATTTGCAGATATTCAACAGGGTTTTTTCAAGTGGGTGGCATGCAATTTGCAAGTTTTCAAATGGGTAGCATGTAATTTGCAAACTTTCAAATGGGTGGCATATAATTTGCAAGTTTTCAAGTGGGTGGCATGTAATTTGTAGATTTTTAAACAGGGTGGCTTGTAATTTGCAGATTTTCAAGTGGGTGGCATGCAATTTGCAAGTTTTCAAGTGGGTGGCATGTAATTTGCAGATTTTCAAATGGGTTGCTCTAATCACTGAAACAGATATTGTCTTCTACTTTTCTCTCAATAATCATATCAACAATACTAACCGTATTAATATAAAAAGGTCAACCCTTAGTTGACAAAATGCATTATGAAAGAGTTTTACATAAAACATATAACCACATAACATTTGAAAGATATAGTGCTCTTACATTAGTCAAATGTATATTTAGCATGTTAATGGAAATTTTTATTCTTAGCTCTCTCACTTTAAAGATATTGCAGAACCATCTGCAGTTATTCCATAAAAGCTCAATAATAGTTAAAGTTAAGCTATTAAATCATGCATTGTTGAAGTCGCAGCTGTGTTTGATGCTATTGTTATTGAGTAGGCTTTACGTTAAAATAATTATGCAGTTTGGTGCAGAATTCATTCCACCGTGTCTTTATTTAATTTATCTCTCATGCAAATAATGGATCCATGAAAAAAGATTAAAAATAGGTAATATCAAACATTGAATTAATAGAGGTGAAATCAATCATGTTTATAGAACAATATGTTCATAAGAAGAGTTGGATAGGTTATTTGTTTTTTCAGCTCAAGAGATCAGATGCACTTGCTTTATCTAATTAGAAATTGATGTTTGATAAAACATGTATATAAATGAGATGGTCAAGGGTGCTCTTATGTTGAAGGTCACCCCAAGGTCACATGCTCATTAAGGTCAAGGAAAATTTACATATTATGAGTCACTGACAACATATAAAAAATTACGATATAATATCTATAGGTTTTTCAAATTGTTGCACTCCAAGTGTCCTTAGAATGTCTGTAAGGGTCAGGGTCACAAGAAAAGGTCAACTGAAAGGTCAATATTAATATTACTGCTTTTGTTTTATTTCTGCAAATTACTTGAAAAGATATTTGGAAGGGATTTAAAGATCTTTCACATTAAAGCACGTGTTCCAAATAAGAAGGAGATTTTAATAGGTCAAGTTTGTAGGTCAAGTTCATTCGCATTTGTTAAGGTTACATGATAGGTGATGAAAGGAAAATATTTATTTTGTTCCTTATCTTAGCTTTATCATTTATTCATGATTTGTATTTTATGTATTTTCAGTTTGATTATTTCATGGGACATTGACATACAAAGAACCCAATCGTCATGGGAACCTTCATGGGTCACGCCCTTCCAGGGTCATTCTTCATCATCTTTGCTAGCTGGTGGATTATCAACATATGGATCCGTTACTTCCGTTCAAAACAACGAGGCACTGAGTTCAGATCCTCTGCCACGTTTAAATGTTCGTGTCTATGTGGGAAGCTTGGAACTTGGCAAGTTGAGGGTGCCTTGAAAATGCTGTTCTGTTCTATAGGCCTCACTGGAGAAATGATCACAGGATTCGACGATAAAGGAAATTTTGTAAATTTTGGAAACGCCCAACATATCACAATGTTTGCTGCATTTGGACTTTCAGGATTGATTGACATTTTAATGCATCACGATTTCCCAATTCCAAAAGGGATGGACTATGTTGGTATGCTTGTTGCTGTAATGGTGGAAGGGGTGCTGTTCTTATTCCATCTCCATGGACGAAAACCAATGGATATCCAGGTCCACATCCTGCTCGTTTACGTCCTCGGGGCCAGTATAGTGTCATTACTGGTTGAAATGTACATTCAGAATAGTGTTCTAGCAGCCTTGGCAAGATCATACTGTGTGCTGATTCAGGGAACCTGGTTTTGGCAGGTGGGGGCCATTCTTTACCCCCACCATGTTAACCCTAATGCCTCTCGGTGGGACGAGGAGGATCACGAACAGATGATGATAACTGTGTTAATATTTGCCTGGCACATGATCATTGACTTCATAGTCATAATAATCATGGGTGCCGCAGTTAATTGCTATATTAAACGTACCGGCAATTGTTATGATGCAATTCAAATGCAAAACCTTATCCATAAAGACTCTACAGGTCAAACTGTAATCAACCTTGGCGACAGTGACAATGATAGCGACCTTGAGTTTGAGAAACCATCCAGAGCAACGGTGTCGACAAAATAAACTTGTGAAATAATTCTCAGACTTTACACTGAGGTTGTTTTGTATGAACATATGTGGGACATGGTTGTTTTGTAAATGATTCAAGAGGAAGGAATTAAAGGGATAAGTAGAGATGGAGATTGTAAATATAGGAAGTAATATGCACTTCTAAAATAAAGATTTGGTCAGTCATCTCAATTCTTTCTGAAAAATATCTGACATCTGATCATATAGACGTTTTTGAAGATTTAAAAAGTCCAAATCATTAGAATTGAAAATACTTCAAAACCTTTTCCAAATAACTTTAAAAATCAAAGATTATCCTGAGATTTCATCTTTTGTGAAAGAATTGCATGATGAGAGCTAAAATAATGTAATGTATTAATAATTGCTACAAAACTGACTCACTGTTACTTCATCTTCATCTCTTCTCCTCCCTTAAAGCCATAAAGGAGGTAAACCTTAATTCCTATATTTGGATGTACATGCATTTATGCATATAAAGACACATTACAGATTGCTCTATAGTGCAACATACAATTAATGCTAGATTCATGCAGGACCTAACTAAATCAAAATGTGTCTGGTGTTTCATGTATGCATCACATCTATCAGAGCTGTCAAAGGAATTTAAATTATTGCTAATTGCAGATTGATATTGATCATGCTTTATGAATACATTTATTAAGGTAGTTCCACACTTTCAGATTTTTTTCAATTTGGGGAAAATAATTTCAGTATAAATCAAAAAAAAATTTTGATTTGAACATTTCATTCTACCATTATGTGTACATCTACACAAGTTTTTTAACCAGTTTTGTTAATTATTGGTGCTTACAATGAAAATTTTTACTATGCAGATGTACCTTAAAATACTTGCATTCATGAAGATTGCATGATAATGTTCATGATGTGGAACTACCTTAAGGAACTTATGACTGTGTTGTATAACCACATTGAGCAAAAAAGTGTGATGATGTATAGACCTGCTACTGCATGGAGTTCATTTGACTTCATTTAGAGATGTCTTATATTGTTGCTTGCTCCATGGAGTTCATATGACTCCATTCAGAGATGTCTTATGTTGTTGCTTGCTCCATGGAGTTCATTTGACTCCATGCGGTGTCTTATGTTGCACTATAGTGTATTGTTACACACTTGCTACATGTTCATATCACTACAAAACCTAAAATGGATGGTGTTCAAATATCAACAATTGTTGAAAACAAAATTCATTCCATTTGGGGAAGAAGGTATTCCATGAATGGAGAATATTTTTGGGAAAAAATCATTTGTAAGGCAAGTCAATATTTTCAATTTTTGGTGTGTGTTGAAAGTGAAGTGAGAAAACTTTGTTATTCCATAATACTGTTGAGATTTGAACCCTATCCCTGTCATGCTACATCATGTGTTAAAAACATAAAAAATTGTTTTGCTATTTTCTACAATGAAAAATATTTTTAAATTGTCTGTAGGAATAGATTATAAAGAGTTTATATATTGTACAATGTTTTTATTATTATTAATGTCTGTATATATTCAAGAGACCAGATCAGCATCATAAAATCTATGTCTATTCGCAGTTTCATTTATTTTGAACCAAAGACTTTGTACATTACATTGGAGCATTTCAACTCTGGTCACTCTTCCATGTGCAATTTTGGCATCTTCATATAATACCTTGTTTGCTATATATTTTTGGATCCACTTATGATAAACTTGCATAAGTGGGTGTAGTTTGTAAACCCCAATTGATCATGCTGTTCATGTTCCTTTGGATACATGTATAGATGGTGTATTACAAATGAATAATGAAGGATTTCACATTGTTAGGTACAGCTGGAAAATAACATTTTGGTAAAAAATTGCTATACCTGCACATGTTATTTTCTAGTACAAAATAAAGTATGAAGGCATGTATCAATTTCCTTGCTTTTTTTCAGGAAAGTATCATTACATTGTCTTCTTTTAGAATATCTGGTAGGCGCTCAATGGGAACTCAAGGAAATTCTGATATTTCACATTTTTCCAAATTTTATTTCAAAGTTTCCAGACAACACAAGAGCTCCCATTGACCTGTTTCCAAGTTTACTAAAAGTAGACAGTGTAATGATACTTTCCTGAAAAAAGCAAGGAAATACACACATACCTTCATACTTAATTTTGTACCAGAAAATAACATGTGCAGGTATAGCAATTTTTTACCAAAATGTTACTTTCCAGCTGAACCTTAAGCTTAGTTTACATTAGGGCTTTATTCATTTTTAAATCCAAGTTTAATTGTTGTAATTTTGTAAATGATCAGGATGTGACCCATATTGGCATTGTCATATTCAGAATTTGACCCATATTGGCATTGTCATGTTTTGAATTTGACCCATATTGGCCTTGTCATATTTAGAATGTGACCCATATTGGCATTGTCATATTCAGAATTTGACCCATATTGGGATTGTCATATTCAGAATGTGACCCATATTGGCAATGTCATATTCAGAATGTGACCCATATTGGCAATGTCATATTTAGAATGTGACCCATATTGGCATTGTCATATTCAGAATTTGACCCATATTGACATTGTCATGTTCAGAATGTGACCCATATTGGCATTGTCATGTTCAGAATGTGACCCATATTGGCATTGTCATGTTCAGAATGTGACCCATATTGGCAATGTCATATTCAGAATGTGACCCATATTGGCATTGTCATATTCAGAATGTGACCCATATTGACATTGTCATGTTCAGAATGTGACCCATATTGGCATTGTCATGTTCAGAATGTGACCCATATTTGCATTGTCATGTTCAGAATGTTACCCGTATTGGCATTGTCATATTCAGAATGTGACCCATATTTGCATTGTCATATTCAGAATGTGACCCATATTGGCATTGTCATATTCAGAATGTGACCCATATTTGCATTGTCATGTTCAGAATGTTACCCGTATTGGCATTGTCATGTTTTGAATTTGACCCATATCGGCATTGTCATGTTTTGAATTTGACCCATATTGGCAATGTCATGTTCAGAATGTGACCCATATTGGCATTGTCATATTCAGAATGTGACCCATATTGGCAATGTCATATTCAGAATGTGACCCATATTGGCATTGTCATATTCAGAATGTGACCCATATTTGCATATCGGCATTGTCATTTTCTGAATGTGACCCATATTAGCATTGCATTGTACAGTGTTGTTTAGATATAAGGTCTAATGATGTTCACTCCCCTCCATAAGTTTGGCAACCAATCACTTTGAATCATTTATCAAAACCTGTGTATTTGGTAATTCTAAAGAATTCATCTTTGTCATCATATTCTGAACTATTATAATTAAGGATTCAACCATTGACACGTTTTGATAAGTTATCCAATGAAAACTTCCCATTGTCAAACCTCTGGAGCGGAGTGCACATGATTGTTTTGTAACATAATTGTTATTGTTTTTATAGCCTTTAAATCATTAAATTGAGCAAAATGTGATAAATTGCCAAAACCGTAATTAGCAAAGTGCATTAATTCCATATTATTATTATTAATTATTATTAATCATATACTTACACATATCATGCACACAGTAAACAATCTGCACAATGGACCATAATGGACTATGAATTAATTTTGTATTCTTGCCAAAAGTCAAGTTGTTTCAAGTTTTAAAAAAATAGTAATTTAAATATTTCTCAAACTTAAGGAACATATTTTTGTTGCCAAGCAACTAATACGTTGCTAGGAGTTGCAAAAGGTTTAGTAAAATTTGTATAATTATAATTTTTGCATAAAATTGAATACAATTTAGCTTTGGTTCAGACCCCTCCCCATCTTCAAAATAACTTATTGACAATGAAAAGACACTCTCCTATTTTAGTTTTAGGTGTGACTGTTTCTTATGGCTCTTCCTTATAAGGAAAAATTGACTATTTCACCCATATCCAAGAAATGCTAGTGAATTTTGTAGAATTATGCATTTAATAATTTTATTTTATTTAAAATGTCCCCTGAATATCCAAATACAAGAGATAAATGGGAGTGACTTACAAAAAAGCAGTTTTCATGCATTATTGTCGCATTGGCTGATTGATTAAGATTAATTAAGACTTCGACTAATGCCTCGGTCACATTTGCTCCGATCCATCGACCGGCGCCCGGCCGATTGAATGTTTTGTTCAATATTGTATTCAATTTTGAACAAAATACTCAATCGGCCGGGCGCTGTAGCGAAAATCGGAGAAAATGTGACCAGGGCATTATTAAGACACTCACAGGAATTATCCTGAAACATTCTTTATTTCAACTGGATCCATAAGTATAGTTTATAGAAAGTTGTCTATATGTATATATACAGACTACAGATATATGTAATATAATTATACATATACAGATGCATTTTCCTTATACATAAACTAGACTGAGCTGTTACTTCATTTCTTTACCTCCTCTCCCCATACTCTTACATTGCCTCATATAAATATCAGACTTGATACAGAGTAATGGTTACAATATGTAACTTGTAAGGGGGAAGCTACATCATTCAAATTAAACCAACTGGAACAAAATAATATACTATTTTCTTTAAACCTGAGTCTAGTTTATGTGTGACTTTTGTGTACAATTATTTGAATTTTAAATTATGTTAAACTATTATAGGTTGTGATTTTAATATATTCAGAACTGCATGTGTTATTTGTAAATGCCAGTCTTACATTGCATATAACTCTAATTATATGCTTAACAGACTTGCATTGGAGTCAGTTCAGAAAAAACTTGGCAAATATAATATATCAACAAGGGCTGTTCAATAAATTCTGATAAAATGTTCTTATTAATTTTATGTGTAGCAAGGATGGACTTGAAACTTTTATTGACAATTGCCCGAGTCTGTAAAACTTGAAAAGATTTGGTAATAGTTGCATTCAGAGGATTCTGTTTATGGTTGCTACGGTAACACCAGATTTAGTATGATTGAACAGCCCTTGTTTATCTCGATTAATGTCGCAATGTTCAGTCATCAACAATCATTAAACATTTATATTTTTGTAGAAAATTGTATTAATATCATTACTTACTGAATACAAACAATGCACTTTTAGTATAATTTTGGTTTTGAATTGAAATATTGTGAAGTGAGAAGATGTATGTAATTTCGTTTACAAATACTGGATGTATAAGATGTGGTATCATATTAAATGCAGAAAACCCAAAAGGCTTGAAAGAAGCGCAGGCAATTTTATTTTACAATTTCACATGTAAAATGCATTTACTTTTCAGCACTCATTAATTATCAATAATGATTTTATTATTCCAAGTGTAATTGACTTCAGTGTACAAGGGTTGTCCAAAAAGTTTTAAAACTTTGTCCTAATCCAAAGAGTTTTTATTTATTCTTTTTGGACAACACTAAGATACTGTTCTATAACAGTTATCTATGATGGGATTTTATTTGTACATCATGAGGCATATATTTTGATCTGTGAAATAAAGCTTTCATTATGTGAATGTTAGTAACCTGACATTTGTGTTGATGTCTTTTGGTGTTCTCAAGCATAAAGGGACCAAGGCAATATTTCAATGGAGTCCAAATACAGTATTTAATTGACTACATTTCAGTGTGGCCATCCTCCCCCTTAAAAATTGATGCATCTTACTTCAATAAAAAGGTAGAATAAGTACATACAGTCTACCAGTCATATATTTGTCGAACAGGCTGGGGTTGTTTTATTATTCATTTTAAAAGGCATGTACTGTACTGAACACAAAACTGTGCAATGTAGGAGAATGCCAACATTAACAGCTACTTGTTAACTACATTTATGACTTGGGCGTTGTGATTTAACAGAGAACCTACATGCAAAAAGTCAACATTAAGAGGTCTCTTGACTGTTGTTGAATTGAGATTTATTGCAAACTTGCACACAATCATTAATCTGAATTACATCTACAAGCTATGGAAATTTGAGACAAAAATGGCACGAAAACACATCCTCATGTGGTAATTAATTAACAGTGTCCTATTAAAGCATTTTGTCATTGAAATTGAACTAGTTTTTGGCTTATATGGCGAGACTTTGGAATCACCAATTTATCCACCTTTTTTTGATAAATGAAAAGTGCCATTTGTTTGAACTATTTCTCATATTCATTTAATAAGAGGATGATACTAGGAATTTACACCCTTGTTTCGAGCTCTTACTTTTGACTTGTTTTTGAGATATCAACTTTTTCACCATGAATGGCGCCACTTTTACCCTTGCATTAAAGTAGACCATGGCCAGAACAATTAAGCAGAGATCTAAGACCAGATCATGGTAACTGAAACATTTGAAATTATTTTCATACTTCACAAATTTAATATGTTAACATGGCATTATACTCTGAGCAAAGATAACAATTTTATCAGAACAAAATATTTATTAAATAGATTTCATGTTGGTCTTAACACCAACAAGGGTGACATCTTTATATTAATAATATTGAAAATATATCTCACAGATCATTTCAACATATTCTAAACACCCAGTCTCCTCTGCTTTAACATGTCTAATGTGATCCAACATCACACTGAATATCAGAATATGGATGTCCCATTCCACAAGTTTATAATGGTCATTGGTCCTATATTCTGATCCTTGATCCAGTTTTGACTGTTGATTTGACACATATATGTAAGTATTCATGTCTTTGAAAATGACACTAATTCAGATTTGAATGTAAACTGTATGACACAATTTCTTCAGTATTCATATACATGTACATATGCAGTCTCCCCCTCCCTTCACTGTGTTCCTGAATACGTCCTGGTTCATTGGCTGTCATTTTGTCTCAGTGGAATTTGATGTTATTGAGTCCTTGGAATTGTCTTTTAAGTTGATTGGTATCTGCCCATTGTGAATCCAAGTAAGCATCCTCAGATTCTTTGTCCAATTTCTGAAATAAAAACAAGAAATTATTTTGTATACTCATATATATTGACGTAAAATGAGACACCCTGTATAATTATACAGGTGTAATAGATCATTCAATAAGTTCTCAGAAAAGGGCTGAGTAGAATAAGTAATCTGTTGAATTAACCATTTCTAAACCATTAAGCATGTTCATCTGGGCTTACAAGTGAAATGAATCCCATGCGACAATGCCTACCTTAAAGGAACAGATAGTGTGCCATTTTTTGTTATTACAGAATGTTTTAAAATGACAATATTTCAAAATATTGTATTCAGAATTGCATTTATCAAGGTTAAGTGAAAATACTGCAGTTTAACAATTACTTTAAATTCTTCTTGTTTTTTATAGTAATACGCCATCATTTGTTTTTGCTCTTCTTCATTGACGACAGGTTCACGAGCAGGTGCTCCGCCCCCTCGCTGCAATAACAAATATAAAAATGCACCATTATAAAACCATTATAATGTAATTTTAAGTGTCTCGTAGCTATAATAGGTAAAAGGCACAATGTTGTGGACTTGGCAGGTGTTGATAATGATTTATCACGATGCAAATCAACAATTTATTAATAACACATTGTAAGAAGTTTTACTGCAATAACATCGTACAGTTGAATCGATTTCTACTAAATGAGCAATATAGCAAAACCACCGTGGAATAGCCTGACACCGGTAAAGTCAGACACCAACGGTAATGTCCGCCATTTGTGACAACAGTATCTGACTTTACTGTTGTCAGGCTATTCCGGTGTGCAAAGTGAAAAATTGTACAATGTTATTGTGCATTTGAAATATTGATAGCCTTAGGTGTAGGATTGGGTCATGATAACCAAATCGTAGAGAGCTATAAGAAAACAAACAATTTCGAACACTTTTTTCCACTAAGATTTAATACATTTAGGTAATCCAAAACTTTCTATCTGCACAAAAATATTATTAAAATAAGAAGGCTTTTCTTTTTGGGTCACCCTATAGCTAAATATGTAAAGTTACACTAATAAAATTACATGTTAACTGATGGAACTTCCGAAACGTGTTGTACGCTTGAGAGGCCAGACCAAAATCAATTATTCATTCAGTTATCCTGTAGCAATTGGCCATCAAGTATAACTGTCACTGCTCAATAGAGTATTTCAAAATATTGTGATCGTGAATGGAGAATATTCATAAGGATTAGAGGCTTACAATACAAAGCTTTCTAATTGATATTATATGAACTTCCATTATGATAATGCCTCAATATGCATTGCAGCAGCCTACCTTTTGTATTTTTGCAACTATTTTTGTTTTTTTCGTTTTTCCCGATAAAATCCATTAATTTTTTTCCTCGTTGTAGTTCCTTCCCTGCCCACCAGAGGACTGCTTGTGGCTCTTCAATGACGTCCAGAGATGCCTAGGAATTGCATATTATTCATTAAATAAACTGTTATTTCTCAAGATCATAATTCAAAACTTCAATCTCATGAATTTCAGACACTTATGTTTATAAGACCTAAACCTAATCAAGATCTAATATTTCCCTTTTAAACAATGAAATGCATTTTTTGAATGCCCAGATGATGAACTGTACTAAAGATTCTCTAATGCGACCCAACCATTCAAATGAGGATTTTGAGAAGTTCCTCGCCCCATGAGTGTTATACACAATGAAAGAAAGTGTTTAACGTTCACAGTATATTACACATGGGAGTAATAAGTAATAATATCTTTATAGACAACATATGAAGCCTGGGTTACACTGCCAGAATTCTTGGTATTGATTATCAATTATTGCGCGAAAGTACAATTATTTTAAAACGGTACAAAGGATAAATAGTAAATGAATGTACATTTAACAGAAATATTTAAATTCTGCCCTAAACTACCTGGTTGTGGTTTGTAGAGCATATTTCATCAAATTACATGCTATTGTCAAATGTTGCCTGTATAATAGTTTTTCGATTGTGCACAAATCTAACTTAGACTTCTGTAATTTTTCACTGTAAAAATTCACCTGACTTCCTGATAAATCTTCCTCGTTCTCAAACTCTGCTCTGATTGGATCATGTGGAGGGAGTCCCATTGGGTAAACGATAGTTACAGCACCTCTTAGGATATCTAAGGCATCTTGAACTGTGGCCTGGGTCACACACATATTACTGGCAACATTTTTCTGTAAAAGACAATATATCTGCTGAGTTCAAATATGGTTAAAGTCATTTGTACCAAGGTCACGTGACAAAAATAACAAAATCACATTATTTCTTGAAAGCCAATGAACTCATTGAAGGTTAGCAAAGGCTCTTTGGTTTCCAGACCATATTGCTTTGGGGGTATAAGCTTTTCAAATATATAAATGAGGCAAAAAATGTTTTTAATCAGATATACATTTGTAAAAGAGGTCAAGGTCAAACTTACATTAGATATTTTTGCTTTTGCTTCTGCTATGGTTTTTGTTAGAACTTCTGCCATCTGGTCATTTGGAGCTGAAAAATGTAAAATCAAAATACAATTGGCAGATTATATTTCCAGTTGGAGAGAATTACGTCAAGTATGCCTACTATGAAATCCATCAAATCACAGTGCCATGGGATTAGCATTTTCAATAACTCAGATTATATTAATATCTCTAATTCTCATGCATTAAGACTCAATCAAATTGATATGCAAAAATGAAGTGCAATATTATTATTTCCTTCTAGAACTTTGACCCATTGCACTTTGTAAATCTTAGCACAAACTTTAATGTGAAACATACTTAAATACCAGGGTTAGTGGACACATATCTTGATATTCAAATATTGGCAAAATTCACCTTATTAAGACAGTATTGAAAATAAAAGAAATGATTGAACACTCAAGGACAAATGTCTGTGACAGCCCGTGTCATAAATTGTTTCAAACCTACCATGCTGATCTCTTCTAAACCAATCAGCGAGCAGGAAGGAACATATGTTTAATACATGCTCATTAAATATGCGATGATGTCAGAGGATTATTACCATTATATAGAAAGTCATCCATAGAGTGAAGACGAAGCTCACTTTTAAGGATCGAAGTCAAACGACTTTGATTCCAATACCAATAGTATCTGATACCAATAGTGAGATAGAGAGTTGATGAAGTTATAAAGGTTTTACTGTACAAATAATGAGGCTCTTATATCAGGCAATGCTTTTAGCTATGTTTAATCATAGGAAATGAGATAGTTTTTGATAATAGATAAAGCACTGATGTAATTTATGGATGTATTGTTATGAAATCATTAATATAACGTCAAAACTGATTCACAGCCATGTTAATGATAGAAAAAACTCTCGTAAAACAATGGCTATGTGGTATTATAGCATAAATATGTAATGTAATTTTTTCAATCACAACACCATAAAACACAATACAAAGATGCAGAAAATATATAATGTATCTAGTTCAGATCGTTTATATATTATGATTGCTAAGTGTTGACGACCTTAGTGAATAACCACCTTAACTACCTTTATGAATAACCACCTTTATTGCCTTAATGAATAACCACCTTAACTGCCTTAATGAATAACCACCTTAACATCCTTAATGAATAACCACCTTAACTGCCTTACTGAATAACCACCTTAACTGCCTTAATGAATAACCACCTTAGCTATATTAATGAATAACCACCTTAACTGCCTTAATGAATAACCACCTTAACTATATCAATGAATAACCACCTTAACTGCCTTAATGAATAACCGACTTGACGACCTTTATGAATAACCACCTTGACGGCCTTAGTGAATAACACCTTAACTGCCTTAATGAGTAACCACCACAGCCGCCTTAATGAATTACAAGCTGAATGAATAACCACCTTAACAACCTTAATGAATAACCACTTTATTGAATAACCACCTTAATTAATGGAGAGCTTATCCCATTTCCAGATTTTCCAGAACTTGCATGTAAGATAACATCAAAGCAATCAGAAAATATTGGCTTTCATTCTTCAACCCTTGGAGCATCTTGACTCAAAATGTTCCAGTTGCTCTTACATCACTTTGATATGATTCCTTTACATCTGTTTGACTTCTTTAAACAATCGTGTTAAGTTTGAATCTATACTCTGCGCTTGGAGCATGATATTATCACAAAGTTGTTGTTACTTTGTCATTATGGTTATGTAAGGAAAGATTGCATGTTATCATAGTCTGCAAAACAATGAAATTTAAAGACTACCCATTTATCAATGAGATATCTCAGATCTCAAATTTATTAATAAAACTATAAGAAGCACGCTGATCTGTAAGTGTTCACTTTACCATTTTGCACAAACTACTTAAAAAACATTTAAAAGTCCAAAATGTAATTAAAATATAAAAATCTTTATAACAAATAATTTGTTAATAATATACTTCTCTATGCCAAGTAGCCCTTGCAATAAATGTATAATTTTACCTAATAATAACCATCAATATAACATCCAATAGGGAAAACCAATGAAAAAAGAGCAGAGACTTTGAGAATAGGCTTGCACCTACCTGAAAATGCATTTGTATGCACTTGAAAATGAGAAAAATCATGAAAAATGGGCACATTTTGACCAATTTTGCTCTCAATTGTGAACATGAAAATTTTGCACCCACTTGACAAAAAATCCTGTGGAGATCACTGAAGAGTTGGCTTCCTTATTAAAATGGTAAATCAAAACTGCATGATATAATTACTAAGCCGAGTCCCTGTTAGGCCCTTCATCTAGAATACCATAAGATACTAAATAAGAAAACTGAATTCTTACAATGTTACTAATGAAATCTACATACACGAGGAAGCTCAATTTGTTCAATTGCCTATCACGTCAAAACATTTTCTTGAGGTTAAATGGGTCCCTGAATATGTGAATAATGAGGACATTGAGTCCCTCAAATCATTAATAAAAGTCTTGACTGGGTGATTTAGAATGAAACTTGTTATGACTGTGAATTAGATGGTTCACATTTAACCAAATTTCAAACTCTGAGGCAGTTAATCCCTTTGATTTAGTTGAAGGTAATGTGATTTATACGTCAATGTTACTGTACTAAATCCCCAAAGAAATCTCTGATCTTCGGGAATGAAAAATTAGGCTTAAGTGGAGGTTCCGAAGTAAAAATAGAAAACTGAATTCTGTGAAACAAGAATAATATTTGATTAGATAATGTTGGTTCTGTTTGATGACATTTCATGTTAGTTAAGCTCTCAAATTGCACTTTAAGCATAAAGTTTGTAATGAATTGATACAAACTGGTTTAAAAATATGAAATGCTTTTATCTACTCTCTGCATTGTGTTCTGTGACATTTAACAGCACTTAAGACATAAACCAATTATACACTGGCCAGCAACAAAAAGATTCATCAAACATTTCAAGAAATATGTATTTTGAAAGTTCAATTAGGCTCAGAATGGAATAAAACTCAAATCAGTCATGTTAATATCAAATTGAACCATATAACAAATGATGTGACCTCATGTCAAATACTATAATGCAAGCAGCATTTTACAAAAAGTTTCAAGCAAGCAATTTTTATAACAATTTCATTCACACTGATATTGAATAATTTAGGTACATTGTCACATGCTCTGTCTTCACTGTCATCAGCCGTAGATGATTATTTAGTCAAACCATGCTATAGGATTTCATTTCTTTCTTGATACACGGATGGGAAATAGATAGCAATTTTGTAGACCCATGAGCAATGGGATCTGCTGCCATCTCATATTCCATCAATGAATGAGCTTGTTGTCCCTCATTTACGTCATTAGGGTGGCTAAGTCTGTTCTCCGCATGTTTCAACCATGGATACGCAGAGGATGAACTCATCCCAGAATTCCCTGTTTGTGCACTTAATTTTCTAAAATAAATCAAATGTCTGAAACATGATGCCTTGAGCATTTGTTTGAGTTCTTGTCGGAATGTGGTCCCCGTGAAGCAATACATCCAGAAATTAATAACGGAGTTAAACTGTTGAACAAATGTACAGAAATGCTTAGCGATCTCCAATTTTTCATGGGCTGGCCCATCACGATCAAACACTTCGCTCTCTGTTAGCACAATGCAAATAAGCACTGGTAATGTTAAAACTAGGAAGGTAAAGGAAATTGATACGAGCATTATAGCAACAGATTTCGTATTCGACTTCTTAGTCCTTGGTTTGGTGATAGATGTCACTATCTGTCGATTACGTTCAGCATCAAATAAACGTGATATTATGGCGATATCACACGCAAGCATTATAAAGAATGGAAACAATGTTGCCAGACATAAATCAGTCCATGTCCAAAATATGTCAAAGTCATGGAATGTGACATCATCAATGTTAAGTAACCAATCACAATACATAAAGCCATCCTCTTCCTTATGCAATGAAAATGTCCAGAAGATATGGGAGTTTAAGCCGATTAACACGACACATAGCATTGTCAGAATCATTCCCGCCACTTTCCTCTGGCACAGCATCTTGGCCCTCATTGGCCAAAATATGAACACAACTCGTTCACACGTCACTAAAACAAGAATCCAACCTGTCAACTGAACGAAAAAATATGTCATAAATAAATTAATCTTACAGCTGAAATCGGATTCATCTGTGATCCAAATTCGACAAACATATTGCAGCCAGATGTCGACACTGTAGATAATGAGCAGTATGATGTCACAAAAGGCTAGAACTGTCAGATAAAGACTCCATGACGAGCTACGAAACTTTTTCCTTAAAAGAACAGATATCGCTAAAATGTTGCTAAATATTCCTAAAATAACGAGGATTGGTGCTCCAATTATCCACAGTCTAGCTTCAATAGGTTTTGATGTAAGGTCCATCGTTTTGGCAATTTCTCAAAATCATTTATGAATCACGCAAATCAGTCTTTTAAAACATCCAATTTTCACTGCTCTGTTATATTAGCTTCATGCAAAAACATGTTAAGTGCTGCAGTTGGTATTTTTAAATCAATTGCCTAGACGTAATATTATATAATTTTACAAAATAAGTCTGGTGAAGTTATCATAACCTTCAGTTCTAGTCTCTCCAGGTTTACTAATAATTAATCCACTAAGTTACTTCCCAAGTAATTCCATTTTTATAACATTCAGCTCCATAATAACTCCTTTTCCCCCCGCAATTAATATCATTGGCCTCTCAGTGGGATGAAAATGCTGCTACTTATGGCATGTTTAACGCAATTCCATCCAACAGCATTAGAGTGCTCCTATATCACTTCCAGCTATTGACTATATCTTATTTAAATTCCATTAAATATATCAGAGAACTTCATTACATTGAATGTGATAAAGATTAGAACTGCTTTGCAAATAGTACTGTTTAACAAGATCATTTCCGATTTGATTAATTTCACTTTGTTTATGACAAGAAATAGGTAGATACAGACACAATATAATATTAATTATGGAATATACAAGTTTTTAGTAAGTTGTATTAAGGTGGTTCTTGCTCAATTTTTTAGTTTTCGATTAATTAGCTGATTTGTAAAGATAAAGATAAGCAATTTTACTATTAAAGATGTCATAAACAGGGTTTGGGACTGTCATGGGCTCTACCACTGATAGAGCCCATGGGACTGTTTTGGAATCTGAGGTTCACGTTCATATCTACTGTATCTGAAGAAGTAGCATTTATAACCTTTGTTATATTTCTAGTGAGCTATTTCCAATATATGATATTCCAGGATTCTAACTGTGGTTGAAAAAGGGTAATTTTATAAAGAATTCCAAACAGGCTTGATATTTTGTCAAAATTCTAAAAACTAATTTGTAACATCAAGTTAAAATTTCAATTGAATCTTCATTCATATGTGTTATATTTTTGCCATTTTGGTAGTATTGAGGAACAGTATTTCTCTATCATACTTAGCTTGTATTCGTGAATGCAATAACGGCTACCAGCTACTGGATTCAAATATTAGTAAATGAGTTGGCAATACTACATTAGGTTAATCTGGTAGTCGGCACAAGTTAGTTGTATTCCCGAATATAAGCTTACATTCATAATCCATTGTTGTATCCATGGAAATCATGATGTCAGAGTTAGAGATAAGAACATAAATGCACCCCAGGGGTACCATTTTAGAGCCTAGCTTGTATAAGATTAAGCAGTATAGCATTAAATGCCATTGCAGCCAAATCCCATCTTGATCAGAATGCAGATAAATCACTTGAATTCTAGAGGGAGATCTATAAGACGGGGGAAAATGTCATTTATCTCTTAGCTCAAAAACACAATTTTCGAATTAAAATCAGATTCTGTGTAGACATCAACTTTGCTCTTTTCCCATAATGAAATTACAAAATGGTACAAAACTATGATTGATGATGTCTTGGGGAAAAATAGTTTGGATAGTACAAGGGATTAATTTCTCCTTAAACTTCTTAGTTAATGAATGCTGGTGACTTTCAATTCAAGTTACTAAGAGAGAGAGAGCAAGTTTGAAAAATATTTAGCATTATTATATACCCAATATGTAACACTAATCCTGATTGGTCAATACCTAGTCACGTGTTCCGAAATAGGTTTACTATTTCCCTCGGAAAGTTATATTCCCTCAAATGTGACGTCAGCGGGAATATACATTTGAACTATTGCCCGCTGACGTCACGATTGCAACTTCTATTACCCTTGGAAACGTCTGCGCATCATCACTGCGCAGACGAAAAATAGAAAAATGGAGGATGAGCAGAAACACAAATCAACTCCGTTCACCATGACAGACGTGCGTGAACGATACAATATAAGCAAGGTGGATAAAGTTCCCTAAACTCAATACGTCTGTGTAATTTCAAGTGTTATGATAATCTATTCTGCGTGTTAAACGCGATTGAATTTGTCAAGTGAGAGTCTCAGAGGCAAAAATTTCTGTTGAGCATCTGATGACGTCACAGCTTATAATGCTAACAATGGACCCGGGGAGGGGGCTTTCTAAACCTTTTTGGCCTTCGCAGAGGAAACGGGACAAGAGTCAGTATAGGGTATATAATAAAACAAATAGTGACTGCCTAATTTCGAGCAATAGTGTAAATGATTTCCCCTTAGGAATATCCTCTAAAATGTACTATTCCCTCAGCCTGCGGCTTCGGGAATAGTACATTGTAAAAGATATTCCCTCGGGAAAATAATTTACACTAATTGCCCTCAATGGCAGTCACTATTTGTATAATATTTTTTCCTCTCATCATTACATATCCAAGCCTGGTGATCCTACAAAATGACTGGGGGGGAGTAGGCGATTTCTGCAAGAAAACTCAACAAATTTGGAAGATTTATTTTTTCAAGAGAAAACTTACAACTGAATTGCCAAATGAATAGGCACAGTGCATGGCAAAATATGTTAGGGCTTCAAGTATTTTTTTGAAATGAAACACTTCTAGGATATGAGATCTATTAAAAAAGGTGCATCATCACCAATGTGCAAAAGTCAATGTTTTTGCTATAAATCAGGCAAAATGGTCTACACGACCTGTAATAAATAGGTACAAGGGAAGTTATTATCACAACACTAATGACATTGCTCACTTTTTAAAGTTATACCACTCCCCCTCCATCCAAAATTAAATCATTTTGATTATTTTTTGTATAACGCATGGAAACTAACTTTATATAAAATTAGGATTATGAGGGAAATATTTGGCATGACAAAATTTCTTGTTATTACTATTCCAAATAGATGAACCCTGTTCATTTCACAATAATAACTTGATTATCAAACATTTGATCTCAGACTTACAAAAACAACTTGTTCTCACTTATAAAAACACACAATAGGGGCTATCAATTACAAGTTTTATGAGTTTTACACCACAACTTATTCATCACATCTATTCTGATCAAGTTAATCTCACCAGCATTGTCACTGAATAACAAATGAAGCCAAAAATTAATCATTTAATCATTTGTTATTAATAACAGGAGACCACTTATAAGGTCTGCATACTTTGTCAAAGGGGATTCAATTGACGTGATCTGTATTCTATTTACCATATAAAGGCGTCATGCATTATTTATTGATGTCACAAATATCTCTCACTTTCAAATCAAATTACTTTGAATATCCAAGTGGGTGTTAAAAGACACGCACTCACAACAAAGGCCCATGGGATTTGGTTTGAAATATTTAGAACAAAAGGCTCACTGGGAATTTATTTGGAATTAAAGGATAGGTATCGATATGGTGAACTGAATTCAACAATGTTTTTCTCTTAAATTATTGAAAACATTCTGTAAAAAAACACAGTCCTTTATGTAATGTTGACTGATTGGCAACAATTTAATGCAAAAATTATTTATATATATTTTATATAACTGTAAAAAATAGATAAAAATTAAGATAAACCATTTATTTCATTAACAAGATACTTTTTAAAATCAACCAAACTTTCCTTTGTACAATTACAATATTGAGAGACCTAAACACGTTGTGTTTGTGTCATTTTGTTCCAATGAGGTTCGGATAGATGTTTCATTTCATTCCGAACATATGATACCAAGAACAAAAGAAGTGTCTGGTGTGTTTTCTAAAACAATATAGAGAAAAGTATATACATATATTTCACATTATAATGTTACCAAGATGACCATTAAATTGACGATGTGTGAAATTTTCAGAATGTTTTGATGACTGGTTTAAGAGAAACGTGTGTTCAAAAAGTTCACCATATCGATACCAATCCTTTGCACATTTCATAGTATAATTTCAGATGTGAATTGAATAATATCATTTTCATTTTAATGAATAAAAAGTCAAGAAAAATATGTCCAAATTTAAAATTGATTCTCAAATCACACTTATAATTAAAAATCAATAATCGAAATAAAAAAAACAAAGGGCTTATCGCAAGAAAATCTGGCAACATGTGTGTGCTGTAAAAACAATAAGTGAAAAATATGTACACCTTACATAAAATATGTAACAATCATTATTACAAGTACAACTGATGGTCATGAATTGAAGCCAATATGTCATCACTTTGCTTTAAAATTGTTTTATTGTCACTAAAAAGATCACTCTTAAATAAAATAGATAAAATAAATGTATAATCACAGTCACAATAATACCTGAAATTTTAGACAAGACATGAACATGCAAAATCTCACCACAGAACATTTGTTACAGACATAAACCATTGAATGTTAAATGCTGGACACCAAGTACCAAATGCCAAACACAATCCGCAAAAAACTAGAGACTTAGACAATTAAGTCACTACTTGTAGTGGTAACATAAAAAAGAATATGACCTACCATGTCCGTTACGTCTTCCTATGTCATCTTTCTTGAAGACGGCTCCTCCACTTGGAATACACTTGTCCTCCCATTCATCCTTCAGCTTTAGATCAGTTATCTGATCATCAGTGAGTCCCTGCATGTTTGGAGGAAGTGTGATGCCATGTTTGGAGAGGGATTCTACCTCTGAAATAAAAGTGTCTAATCATAAGTCAGTCCCTGCATGTTTGGAGGAAGTGTGATGCCATGTTTGGAGAGGGATTCTACCTCTGAAATAAAAGTGTCTAATTATCAGTCAGTCCCTGCATGTTTGGGGGAAGTGTGATGCCATGTTTGGAGAGGGATTCTACCTCTGAAATAAAAGTGTCTAATTATCAGTCAGTCCCTGCATGTTTGGGGGAAGTGTGATGCCATGTTTGGAGAGGGATTCTACCTCTGAAATAAAAGTGTCTAATCAAAAGTCAGTCCCTACATGTTTGGGGGAAGAGTGATGCCATGTTTGGAGAGAGATTCTACCTCTGAAATAAAAGTGTCTAATCCTCAGTGAGTCCCTGCATGTTTGAGGGAAGAGTGATGCCATGTTTGGAGAGAGATTCTACCTCTGAAATAAAAGTGTCTAATCATCAGTCAGTCCCTGCATGTTTGGAGGAAGTGTGATGCCATGTTTGGAGAGAGATTCTACCTCTGAAATAAAAGTGTCTAATCATCAGTCAGTCCCTGCATGTTTGGAGGAAGTGTGATGCCATGTTTGGAGAGGGATTCTACCTCTGAAATAAAAGTGTCTAATCATAAGTCAGTCTCTGCATGTTTGGGGGAAGTGTGATGCCATGTTTGGAGAGGGATTCTACCTCTGAAATAAAAGTGTCTAATCATAAGTCAGTCCCTGCATGTTTGAGGGAAGTGTGATGGCATATTTTGAGAGAGATTCTACCTCTGAAAAAGAACTTAATATATATTCCAGCCACTGAGTTTAAGGTTAGGGTTCTGAATGAGTCAATATCAGGCAGACCATGCATCTTGGAGAGTGGGGAGGATAATATGTAATTGAGAAAAGTTTTGTTTCACATTTTCCGTTCCAGTCTTTGACTTCATGTTGTGATTTCTTTGACAGGGGTTTCATATATATTCCAACAACATGCAAAACAAATCAAAAACAACAGACAAAATGATTGAAATTATTATCTGAAGATGAAAACAGTTGTGAAATGCCTCAAAACCACATCCTAGACTATTTTAGTAAAACACGCCTAACCATCGACAATGTACAGTGACAAAATATACCGTCGTACACTTTAGGTGTACGGTGTTTCACTATTAACTGATTTGAAGCGAAAACTATGATGTAGGTTTGAAGTAGGTTTTCAAAAATTAATTTGAGGCATACATAAAAGAATTCATGTTTGATTTCGTGTGTATTCGATAATTAGTTAAAAGATTTTTGAGCAGTGCTTTAAATTCACAGAATAAAGGTAAAAAGGTTTGGGCTACAAACTCTGGAAATTTCATCAAGATTGGTGCAATATTAAGAAAGTTACAATATCTTTCACCTTATTTATTGGACACCTTGTATATCGAGATGACAACGTACACTTATGATTGTTTTATTTTTAATATTTCAGCAAAAACGTGAATATATATTAAATCTTCAACCTACCTTAATTATGTAACTTAGGAAACATATTCTCATAAAAATAATTGACACTCTTAGGCGACAGGGGAAAAGATGACCAAGGGAAATGTGAAAAAACCAACATTTTCGAACCAATCATTGTTGGTGGGTAGATTTACTGCGAAAAAACTCGAGCACTGCTCAAAAAACTTTTAACGTAATTAGAAAGGTAAATGTCTTCCAAATCGAATACACACGAACATGAAATCCTTTAAGTATGCCTCAGATTAATTTTTAAAACCTAAATCACACCCACATCATAGTTTTTGCTTCATATCAGTTAGAATAGTGACACCATACATCTAAAGTGTACGACGGCGTGTTTTGTCTCTGTACATTGTCGATGGTTAGGCGTGAGAAAATTGCCTGCAGTGTTAATGAAATCCCTGTGGAAAGAGAATCTAAAAATATTAATACATCATAATTTGTTTTGTGTTTTCCACTGAGCCCTCTGTAATCAAACTTCAGGCTAACCTTTATTACCAGAACAATGTGACATAGAGGTCCTGAGTTAGGCTAGAGCAATAAATATTATGTTTAAGGTACAGCTGGAAAATAACATTTTGGTAAAAATTGCTATACCTGCAAATGTTATTTTCTGGTACAAAATTAAGTATGAAGGCATGTGTGTATTTCCTTGCTTTTTTCAGGAAAGTATCATTACATTATCTACTTTTAGTAAACCTGGAAACAGGTCAATGGTAGCTCCTGTATTGTCTGGAAACTTTGAAAGAAAATTTGTAAAAATAGAAATTGTGAAATATCTGAATTTCCTGGAGTTCCCATTGAACTCTTACCAGATATTCTTAGATTAGACTTGGATTAGACTTTTTATTTTAATACAGTATTTTCTCCATTTTCTTCCAGTGACGTTAAAACACAAATTGATAGCGATTCATGGTTAGTTATTTCCGAAAAGCCTCATGACATGGACCTTAGCGAAAATACTTGAGAATAGTTGCCAAAGGAAATGCTGCTAAACATTTTTCTCAACTATCAATGCCTAATTACTTCTAACTATGAATTATTAAAAGGCATTATTCAGGATGTGTTTGAACATGGCATGTAGGTGTTTGTTTCATCATAGAAGTTATAATTAAGAGGCACACTATCATTCAATATTTCATATTTTGTATTCCTTTCATTTTGTAGACTATAAAGGAAAAAGTTGAAATAAATATAAATGAAAAATGACATAACAGAGCACACACTTCTCAGATCACAACCCTCTTTTCACATTTAACTTAGACATTTCTGCATCTTGAACATCAGAAACGTTCATATTTGATCAGATATCTGAAATTTATTTTCAATAAAAGGAATTCAATCTATCACGTTCATAAAAAATTTCACATTGTCAGACCTTTTAATCAGAATTCATAGACTAAAATTAGAATTCTAACCCAATCGAGAGAAAATCCTTAAATTAAATGCCACTAAAGCTCCTGAATCAGATTACCAGTAAATGTATGTACATCTAGCATTAAAAAACGTCAATGCATTTGTTACTAGTTACTTTTGCTTTGTTATTCTAATCACTGTTTGGAACATGGTTTTGATTAATATGATAATAAAAACCTTTAAACCTAAAATTCTAGTCACTCAAAATTGCAGGTTGACAATTTATTTAACATAAGGGAGCCATAACTTACATCTAATAAAATAATGAAGCAATAAAGGCTTCAATGGGATTTAGGTAAAGCAATTTTCAGACAAACAATAGGGATGGAGGAAAACATTTTGTCTTAATTTAGACAAATTTAATTAAATTATAAACATATGGGAAATAAATTATTAAAGAAAATCATAGTTACGATTAATGTACATTTACAAGAGAGGCCTAAATATTTCCCTTAGGAATATGGGACATGGGTCAATCTGAGAAATACTCACTAAAAAGATTTCTTGAGAATTAAAAATTAATTTTGATAATAATACAATATAATACACGATATGCACTCTTATCCAGTATCTTGTGCTGACCCTGTTAATCAATATGTGACAATTAACGTAAATAAAGAAAATAAAATAAAAATGTGATATATTTACCCCAGCATAAGCGCTCAACTTTCAGTCTTCCGTTATAGATGGCAGCGACATCTTTCATCATATCATCAATGAGAATCTGAACTGTCGTTTCATAAAGAAACAAACTCTCCTCTGCCTTCTTAATATGCAGTTTCACCATTGTTCATGTATGATTAGCAGGCTACTGAAAATCAGAAAGTGTGTTAGTTTTGGGGCAAAACAAAAAACATCTAAACAGTCATAGTTACAGTACCCTCTCCAGGATATGTTTGCATTCTTGACAAAGTGCCATCTTGATCTATACAGGGCACAGATCGTAAGGTAGATTCAAATTAAATCAAGTGCTGATTTGCAGATTTATTGCCAATTTGCAGACATCAAAAAAACAAAAATCTGGATCATTGAAAGCCAAAGAACAATATAGCACCCGAGGGTGCATTAAAAAGAACCATTCGCTTGAGAAAAAGCAATGAATTTCGAATTTGATCTTCCGAGAGCTCACATGCAATGATTGATTGGTCGTTTCTACATGTAGTAAAATGCCTGAGAGGTCTGAATATCTGAAACATCTAAATAATTGAGATAATTAAAAACACTAGAAAAACTCTAATTTAAACAACATATGAAATATATAAATATATATATAAGTCTGCGGAACAAGTGAAACATGAGTGCATAATAAGAGAAACACAAAGTGAAAAAAACAGAGTACAAAGAAAGTAAGTGCCAATGACTACTGCCGATGAATCCCATAATGACAATAATGAATATTCAAACATTTTGGTGAGTTTTCATATTCGAATTGTAATATAGACCTCAGAGCAGGTGTAATATTGTCAAATACACCCCTTAGGGCTAAGCACAAAACCTTTCGAACCCCTCACCGGCTTCGGTTGTTCCGGATACAGAAAACATTTGTGCCTAGCCCTGCGGGATGTATTCGACGACATTACCCCTGCTCTTCGGTCTATATTTCTCAAATAAAACATCATGTGATGTGTGATTATTGAATAAAATCTTGATTCCTTGTTTTGTCATGTTTATTGGAAATATTACATTGAGCATTTTACACTTTGTATTCTTTGCTGCCACATTAGTCTACATCAGGCTTTATTTATTTATTGTAAGCCAGAATGTTTTGTAGTATTGTATTGTATTTTGTTTACCACCAATGAAGGTGAGCAATACCTCTTGGGTATATCCCGTATATATACGGTCGTAATTTACGTAATTAACCTGGAAGATAGACCCAGAAACCCCTCCTTGAAGGAGCCCTGTGTTCTTTTAAGTGCACTTATACATAGACATACAAGTACACACCACAGCCTTTCATACGAGTTGCGTACCACTCAGTCAAACACCCTGAAGTACTTCACGCAATCAAGCAAATTTAGTCTTGCCTGAACTGGGGATCGAATCCGAGACCTATTGCGTAAGAGGTACATGCAATACCGATGAGCTACACCGGTGGACTTGTAGTAGGATCTCATAGGCTCAAAGAATAATTCAGAAGAAGCGTCACTAAATTGAAAAATTTCAAAAAAAGTGAGTACCTTTCAAAACGTTCCTTATACAAAATGGTACCCGCTTCCCTGTGACAGATTTTGCACTCAATTTATAGCTGAGATCTTCATCTTTCTACTTATACTTGTTTGGTTCGAGTAAATAACCTATGGACGCAGTAATTTGACTTTATTACGGCAAATATTTTCCCCTTGATCCGCGCTCTTGTGTGTCCAAATATCATTTTAATTCTGACTTCACATTTCTGGAATCACAGGAGCACCATTCAGATTTGGACAGACAAGAGCCCGATGATAAAATATCACTGTTTTGGCATCTTATCATTGCAGTATTGGTTCATTGGTGATAAAAAGGTTAAAGAATGACAAGACGATTCGAATGAGGTATGATTTGTCTCATATTTTTCAGAAATGGCTGCACAATCGTCATTTTTAAAACTCCGAAATTTTCTTTGTGTTTCATCTTGAGGAATATTTGAGCTACTGATCCTACTACAAAAAGAGTCTGGCCGCTATGGAAATGGTAATACAAAATCCAGGTGTCATTTTATTATTTTATGGTCGTGGTGAACACTTTTAATTTACAAGGACTGCACCCTATGCAGACAGAGCCTGTGGGAAATATTGGGTGCGGCGCAAATGAGCGGAGGGTGCGGAGCTAACGGTCATTTTTGAATTTAAAATTGGGATATTTCTGAAACTAAGCCGTTTTGGGACTTCAAATATACCAAGATATGTGTATTTGACACCAAATATCAATAAAATTGTGAAAATAGTAGTGCAATTCATTTTATAGCGACGCAGTATGCCTTAAACATTTCCCAGACCTATATATTTTGAGACTATCCTTTTAATACTGCGTCCCCAGCATTCATAAAAAATGGTGTTCAAGATACACTACCCATGCAAATTATTTTTGCATCTTGGAAGCCAGGCAGTATCTGTGTGATTTTATAAAAATTCGGAAATGTTCTTCAGATATGAGCCCCTCTAAATATTGGGTGCGGAGCTACGTTTATGGAGCTGCTCCGCACCCAATATTTAGAGGGGCTCATATCTGAAGAACATTTCCGAATTTTTATAAAATCACACAGATACTGCCTGGCTTCCAAGATGCAAAAATAATTTGTATAGATAGTGCACCTTGAACACCATTTTTTATGAATGCTGGGGACTCAGTATTAAAAGGATAATTTCAAAATATATAGGTCTGGGAAAGGTTTAAGGCACACTGCGTCGCTATAGAATGAATTGCGCTACTATTTTCACAATTGTATTGATATTTGGTGTCAAATACACATATCTTGGTATATTTGAAGTCCCAAAACGGCTTAGTTTCAGAAATATCCCAAATTTAAATTCAAAAATAACCGTTAGCTCCGCACCCTCCGCTCATTTGCTCCGCACCCAATATTTCCCACAGGCTCTGTCTGCATAGGGTGGACTTAAGTCCTGGATTTGGATAAGATGATAAGACTTTGTTACTAATTTTATTTCGTAAAAGAGTCAATGAAATGCATCTTACCTTTCTTAGAAACGATATTTTATCAATACAACCACAAAATTAGCCAGATTCCAAGATTTTATTCTTACTTTTCAAAAATAAAAATTTAAAATTCGATACCGGAAGTAAAATTTTATACGGAGTTAAATTTGGTTGCTATAGTGACTTGTATTATAGTCATGTTGCAAAACACAAATATGTAATGATGTTAGCCCCTTATGAGCAATTAATTTATTAACCAGAGATCTGGTGTACAATTTACTTTTATCTTCTATTGCTTTCAAAAATCTTATATTCACTTTTATTTTATTTGGCGGGAAATTCAAAAACCCTTTACTGCGCCTGCGCGAAAATGTACATTTTCAAAAGTGTGGGTGATAATCGTACCAAACTAATCAAAATATGACACATATAAAAATTCCTGACGAATTTGGATACATCATCCTTATTGTTGTGTCTACATGGGTCCTTCTCAACTTTTTATCCATGCAGGTGATGAAAGCTAGAGATAAATATGGAGTTCCGGTAAGTTGGACCTACTTATTCCCCTTTGACCTATTTTACAACCGAGATTGCAAGAAGAAGCGTTAGTTGCTCTGTAGTAATATTGAAAGCTCCAGCGATCATGGCCGTCATAGAGATTTCTCCTGATTTTGGATGGGTTATTATGGTGTTTATTGCATCACAGTTTGTGCTCATGTGGATGGGAATTAAAGTTGGTAGTGCCAGGAAGAAGTATGATGTCAAGGTGAGACATTTGGAAATCTCAAAATTGAGCACAGACATCAGATTCTACCTGTACATTTAGATTATATAAACGTTTGGTTGGGAGGGGAGCATGGCCCTTTAAGGGCAGAAGAAGGAATTTGAGTCTAGATCTGTTTTTACTTCTGGAGCTTTTGGCTCATTCACCTTTTCATCATCATTTACCAACCATTTGTAGATATGCCACGCCTACTTTCTCTCTGGAGTGTAATCATCGTTGCATTGCATTGCCATCAATGTACTTGAATTGTAAAACATTTAGATATGATTTTCAATTGTATTTCAGTACCCAAAAATGTACAGTGACACATCTGATATGTTCAACTGTATACAGAGGGCACATCAAAATACGTAAGTTAGAAATTATTCATCTTGCTGATTCATAGGGAAAACTATCTGAACATAAGGATAGGGTTGCAGACTAATAGTAATACCAATTTAACGATCAAAATAACAAAATATGTTGATAATTCATTCAATACTTTGTAGTTGCATGCTTCATATCCTGGTTTATACTTTATATACAGTGAACCCCCGGGCTTCATATGCACCATCAAAGCATATACATGTAATATTCTGTGAATGATTCTTTAATTATATCTTTAAACTATTTTAGATTGGAGAACTACACTGTGTTCATTGTTCTCATGCTGATTGCTGGGGTTGTTTATCCAGTAAGTACAATGATTGCAAATGTTTGGCATATCTGCACCCTTATGAAAATAAAATCCATTTTGTGCGATTCATGGAAAATTCCATTATTCAAACATGTTCAATCTGTTTAAAATTAGCTAAATTTTGGGAAGAGAATACTCATTTGTATTATTTAAAAGAATAAAACAAAAAGTTCTAACATGTTTGAAAGCAGAATTTAAGCTATGAGTTGACTGCACACAGAATGGCTTGATACTACTTGTATGCGCCTTTATTTTCTGTTTGTATTGTCTTGCAGAGACTAGCAGCTGTCTGTGGGGCTGTATATGTTGTAAGCAGAATTGTATACGCTCAGGGCTACTACACTGGTGGTAAGTGGACTAACAGATGCATACAGAATTAGGTTTATTCTTTGATCTGAAAGGATCCGTTACCCCATGTACCTAAAGGTGCCCCCAAAGGTTTCATTGAATATAACATGGAAATTTTACTTTTATAAATTATGAACACATCCAAAACAAAATTAGGTCATAGGGATTAAAACTAAGATCATTCAGTGCATTTAAGTTTGACTATGCAAATCATCCTAAATATCATGTTAGGGGTATGTTAGTCTTCACTCATGACTATTTTAAGTATATTGACCATTCAATCAATTGATATATCAAAATATCATTAAGGTAGGACACAAAGGGCAACATATTGAAAACACAAAACCCAGGTATTCAACTCAAATATTAAAAATCTAGTTGTGACTTTCCAATATATGATATATTTGTTTGGCATTTCCAAAGAATAATTCAATTGAAGCTAAAGGTATAAAGTCAAATGGTTGCTTTTTAAAATTGAAAAGGTGCATGTAGGAGAGATTGAAACCCATTGTTTTGCTATCTAACAAGTGGAGGTATTTTAATCTATCCATTGTATAATATATAATTATTATGAAGTAATATATTTAGTTTCTTGACTTAGGATGCGAACTATCTTACAAACAGTGTCCCTTTAATGGCTAAATGGATATTGATTCCGCCTTTCAGCAATATATCATCTTTTGGGACAAGCTTCTTAAATAAATTGACCCTTTTGTTTCTTTTGGTGAGAACTACCTTGCAAGCAATGTCCCTTTAAACAGCTACATGGATATTGATTTAGTCCCTCAGCAATATGACATCTTCAGGGGTAGGCAATTCAATGAAGAACTACCTTACAAGCAGTGTCTCTTTAAATGGGTAAATGAATATTGATTCAGTCCCTCAGCAATATATCACATTCAGGGGCAGGGATGACTGATGAATCAAAAGAATATTGACCCCTTGATTCTTTGTTAAAAATAGTTTAGTGTTCATGAGGATGAGAACTATCTTACAAGCAATGTCCCTTTAAATGGCTGAATGGATAATGACTCTGTCCCCCTGCAATATATCATCTCTAGGGGCATGCATGAATGATCGATCAAAGATAGATTGGCCTATTTGTTTCTTTGGGTGAGATCTACCTTACAAGGAGTGTCCCTTTAATGGCTAAATGGATATTAATTCAGTGTCTCTTCAACATATTATCTCAAGAGATAGACATGACTGATGAATCAAAAGAAGATTGACCCATTTGATTCTATGTTTAAAACATTTTAGTGTTCATTAGCATAAGAACTACCTTACTAACAGTGTCCCTTTAATGACCAAATGGATATCAACTCAGTCCCTCTGCAACGTATCCTTTTCAGAGGCATGCATGACTGATAAATCAAAAATAAATTGACCCATTTGATACGTGTCTGATAGTTTTGTTGCCTTGGTGTCTGGCAGATCCAATATGGCCTACTTTTTGAAACTAAATTTTTTGCTATACTTTCACATTGTATATCTTCCGCAGCCAGGACCCTCTCTCATTTCATGTTTGAACTGTGCATTAATGTCAATACTAAACAATAAAGGTGAATTCAGAGGGGGTCTGACCTGCGGAAGCACCTCAATCTGTCAGTAACTGTAGAAGGTCATCCATTCTTAAAAACAAGAACACAATAGGGTGCTTTTCAAAACAATAGGATTACAAAGTATCTATGCATGGTTGATCTGCTTAGTGAAGCTTATTATGCTCAGACACAATGTAGTTTTATACCAACAAGTCAATTTAAGTGTATGTTCAAAAATCAAGATTTTATTCAAGGTTTTGTGAAAATTACTCATTTTAAGAGTCAGAATGACATGTGTTAAGAATCACTGTAAAAAACAACTTTTTACCACATTCTAAATATTATTTTTGTGATTTGTTGAAAATATACTTCGTAAAGATTCATAGTAGCCCGGACAGAATTGTTCAATGGTCACTTTTTCTTTAATAACTTTTTTAATTTTCAGTATTATCATAGTCTGATCACATATTTTAAAACTAGAGTAAAATTCTGACATACAAAAAAAATATTTAAGGAACATCTCTTAATTTATTGATATTGTAGGCGTTCATAGTATGAGTGACGCAAATACATAATTCACCATTTTGTCTCATATTTGTTAAAAAACGGCGGCATGTTTTGTGGTTTGAATGTTCAGTTAAAATTTAAGTTAATATTAAAGAAATGCCATACGCCTACAAAATCATGTAGACCGCTGCCTTGGTATGAGGTAATGACTGCATTTATAATCTTCTTTTAAATTGACTTGTATGCATACCAGTACATAAAAAGGTTTGTACAGAACAGTATATTGGTACGGTCGCAGCACTTAAAGTTTTTTGGCCATTCCATTGTAACTCGCAGTGGATTAGCAACCCTAGTTCGTTGAACCCGTGTAACTATAGGGTCATACTGCCACAGTTTGTAATATCTTCCCCAGTCACACGCCTCTTTACCCATCCTTGGCATGCATGTGAATTGTTCTTCAGCTTTTCAATGGCCTCTGAGATGGCTGTTAAGCTTGGAGCTCTTGAAAAGATTAAGGACCTACTCTCATCACATCCCGCGCATTAGGGCGCCACCTTTTCACATCCTCTTGAACACAACCCCAAACATTTCAATAGAGTTGATTTCATATACCCTTGGAGGGATTTGACTTCTTGTATTTGATGACTGGTCAGTTGCTGCATTACATAAGGATTGTAACGGTGGCAGCATGGCCCTATAGTCCTATGACAATCTTTAAATATTAACTTTCAACTGAACATTCAAATTCCCAAAATATGCCGCCATTTTGAACAAATATGAGGCAAAATGATGAATTATGTATTTCATCAGTCATTCTATGAATGCCCAAAATATCAATTAATTAAGAGATGTTCCTTAAATATTTTTTTTGTATGTCAGAATTTTACTCTAGTTTTCAAATATGTGATCAGTCTCTGATAATACTGAAAGTTAAAAAAGTTATTAAAGAAAAAGTGACCATTGAACAATTCTGTCCGGGCTACTATTATATAAGAATAATACTGGAATTCCAATTTACCCTTTTCGAAAAATTTCTAAGTCCTTATAGGTACACTAATGGGTACGGATCCTTTAAAGTGCCTGATAAACTATAAAATGCGCATGCGTCCAGGTGTTGATAAACTATAAATAGCGAAAACCCAGGGTTTGTCATCACAAGGTAAGCCAGGACGTGTTGAGCGAACATCTAGTGTTGATATTGAATTTACATGTAGCCAGATAAGTTTCCTTATTGAAATTACATATAGTTATTAGCAATACTTTGTAGGTGATAATTTTAATAAAATATGGGTAGGATGAGAGAAATTGGCCATTTCGAACCTGTTGAAAGTTTGTGGCTCTCGGCTACACCGAAGAATTTACTTCCATGAGTACAGACACAAATGTGGGGCTCCCCAAGAGGTACGCGAGAAGGTGACCTGGCATCAAATGTACGACTAAATGCTTCTATCGAGTAGATAAAAGAACGAATACGACAATAAGTTATTGCAAACGACAATTCCGATCATTCATCTCACTGAAGTATTTTGAAGTGAAGAAAATATGATTTTTGTTTTGAAACATGGATTCAGATGAACGTACATGTAACTTCATTCTGACAACTAATCAAAACTGAACAAAATTGATTATACGTAACAGACGATTTATTGTTTTACAATGTTTTGATCGGCTAAACGAATGAAACCAAGAATTTATGACATGTAAAATGGCAATTTTGAAATGTAAAATTTAAAAGTGACAAACACAACCTCCCTATCCACTCTTTATGAGCCCTAATATGTACATGCAGCAGTGGTAGTGTACAGCTTATTATCACACTACTGGGCTTTCTATTCTAAAGCTTGTTGTTTTTAATAACACTGTTCACTCGAAGTAAATGTTTTGTGTGTGCGAAGTCAACGATAATCATTGTTTTATCCCGGTTATATGACAATTATAACAAAACCGTACTAAACGAAAAAAACGCAAATAAGAGAAAGCTTTCACACACATATAAAAAATGAACTAGTCTAATCCGCCAGTATAAACTCTGTTATATACGTAGCCAGGTCGGGCGCACACTTTAAATGAATCATATTCGGCGCATTTCACAAAAGCACTAAATGCCTGCTAAATTGTTCTCAGTGGTCTCTCTTAAATTTATTTTTGGATTTAGAAAATGCATTTTGTAGTCTGGCAAAGGAATACATGGTATGGTATGGTTACGTCCAATCAATACATAGTAAAACAACACTTAAATGAATTGCATTTCATTTTCCAGATCCCAAGAACAGGTTGAAGTCTGCATTTGGTTACATTGGGCTCTTTATTCTCATTGGAACTAACATCTACATTGCAATCTCCATGCTCGGGTTCGTTTAACATCCTCCAATCTCCATGCAGGGTCAGGCTGAAACCTGTCATACTGAAAACGGGTGAAGTTACGAACTATGCATACAGCAAGCAGGGAATACTTACAAAGAACTAAAACTGTCAACTATATCTACTTAACTCCAAAGAATGATGGTTAACCTTCAAAGACCAAACAAACATAGGCTAATTGATAATTTACATTTAAAGCAAGAGTGTTAGTGAATGAATTCTGGATAATTTTTCATAACATTTTGAAAGAAGCCTCTCTTTGATAGCCTTTATTTCCAAAAATTGTTTTCAACATAATATTAATAATGATATTGAATAACACAATGAAGCTTTACATTAAACAATGAGCTTTGTAAGTTGAATTTTCTTGATCTTCAGAGAAGAATTCAATATTTAATATATTTAATTTTTATGATAACATTTGTAGTTAGAGCTGACATTACTATGAAGGTATTTAAATTAATATCATTTTTAATATTGCAATTATAAAGTTTAATATAGCTTACTAATATATTTTATTTTTAAATAAATAATTCTGTATTATAAATGTAATTATTTTTTAGAATGTCATTTTATATTTGAATATCTTTATATACATATACATTGATTCCAATATGTAATGAAAATAACTAACTGTTAGTAGAATTTGACTTTAAAAAGAAGTATAGCACACGCACACATTGTCACAAGATCATGGACATTCAATCTTTTGAATACAATACGTCTTGTGAATTGTAATAAGTCTAACGTCAAATCCTTCTTCTGTATGGAATTCAAATCAGAGAATTAGGTATAAAATATGACCATTGTAAGGGTAAAAGAAATAAAAAATGAATTTAAATCATGTTATTGTTCAGTTTTGTGATAGCCTAGTGGTTGCAATATTTTGTGAATGTAAATGGTGGCAACACCAGAACTTGCAGAAGAATACAAAATAATCTTCCTATCAAAATCAACCCTAAAGCAATTTGTTAACTACATAAGCATGAACTGCTCTGGAGATATGAAATAGAATCTAGAAGAGGACTGGCATTAACTGGCAAAATTCATCTAGGGTACTAGAATATGATTTTATATATTGAATAACATAATTTTGGACACTGGCTATAACCCCGACTGATATATTCAGAGTATTTACCCAAAGAGTATGGAATTCATGACATGCAATGCAGAATATGGAATTCAAAGATCTTGATAAACTGTTTGAAACTATCATGTCTAGTAAAAGAAACCTTTCTAATGCACCCCGGAATAGCCTGACAACGGTAAAGTCAGATACCGTTGTCACAAATGGCGGACATAACTGTCGCTTCAATTAGATTTTCATGAACTGAGCACCTAGACTGAATTCCTTTAGAACAACAATTAATCAAAGTGTTTTAATACTCATTGTACAGTTAATAATTTTCTACCATCGAAAGTAAAGTCTTTAATTTAACCGATCAAAATGAGATACGGGACAACGGACACTGGAATTTCCATATGCCGTTGTCTTTCTAAATTACTCAAATTCAGATTCCGTTGTCATTAACGATATCGAAGACGCTATAGGGTGGGGATTCACGACCCAGATCGAAAATGGGATTTCATATGATACATTATCAAAAGAGCTTAATACATGATGCACAGAATTAACGACGATGAAATCCCATGAAATGAGGACCAAGTGATTAAACAGTTAAAGCGACGGTTATGTCCGCCATTTGTGTAAACGGTATCTGACTTTACCGTTGTCAGGCTATTCCGATGTGTAACGGTATTTGAACCAGGAATTAGAAGTTCTTGAGGTAACCAAACAACTGACAGATACAAATAACAATCAATCAGTTTAAAATCAATAGTAATTTATTCAAAAAGATTCATACAATAGGCCTATTAACATGATTAAAAAAAGATTCATACACTGAATGTTGGGAAACTGAAATTAGCTCTTTGGTTTATAAAATTATAGAATCAAGATAGAAACATCCTCCGATCACAGTGCTTCAAAATCCAGAATATATTCTTTCTTTTAGAAGAAGGAGGTACGGATTCTGGATACCTGCTTAGGAGGATGGATAGAAAAGGAACCTAATTATTTGAATATCACCAAAAACGAATTTGACAGAAATAGTTAAACAAAATTAAGTGGACATAGATAGAAATTAAAAAGGCTTGTTACGCTCATGGACCATTGTCGAAATATATTTAAGTTTGTATATTTCATCATATCTACATGTACATGTACAAAGAAAACACCTAGATAAATATTATTTCAGCTGATATTCCTCTTGAAACATGTTTGATATGTATGTTTTAAGAAGATGTTTAGCCAAATGTTGCCTTGATAGCTCAGAAAAAGTTTAAATTTTCCTATTTTCTCTGCACATGCCTTGTATTATTAAGATTTGAGATTTGACCTTCAAAAGTCAAAAAAGGTACTTTTTCATCATGCTTTCAAAATCATCTTTGGTTGACCTTCAATGACATTCGGAGGGTCAAAACGGTATTTTTCAACTTGATTTAAATTGACGTATTTTTCAAAATCGTCTACCGTTACAAGTTTTCAGGACTGAATTTAGATATGAGATTTGAACTTTAGTTGGCCTCCAATAACCTTCGAGGGGTCAACAAAGGGAGATATTGATAAAAATATCAATCGAAAAATTCGGAAAATTATGAATAGGAACCCCACGTGAACAATTTTTCCGAAATGTTGAACCTATTTACTTAAAAGAGGATCTTATTTTTCTGATTTTTATTGCATGAAAAGATTATTCTCAAATTTATGGAGGGGAATGTGTATTATGCTACATTCTAAAATCGCTTATTATCAAAGAATATGATTATGTCGCTAAAACTTAAATTCCTTGCGTAGCAGATTTTTTTGTTAATCGATGTGAAGATAAATGTAACTGATGCATGTTGGAAATATGCACGAATTAACGAAAGTGGTATTCGGAAGAGATGGAAATGCTAATTAATTACATTAATTATGAACTTTGAAATTGTTTTTGCGACTTCATTTGCAGAAACTGTTTACCTATTTCACAAAATTAAATAAGAAGATCCATACATGCAGATTTCTCCTAAGATCGTATAATACAATGGGATATTTTACAGATTTTCCAGTTCCATGTTGCATCCTCATTGTCCTCAATAAGATTATAACAGAGATATAAATATGGTTTTAGTAAATGTAGTTTATTTATAACTATGAAAATGACAAGCATTATACAGGGTGTCAGATAAGCTACAGCTAAAACCTAATAGATGGTACCTTGTGTGATATACCATTGGAAAGCTCATCCAAAGTTACATTAGCTCACAAACTCTAAAATATTTCGAATGAAGACTGACTTATATTTTCTTGATGGCATATGATAGATTACAAAATATAACCAATAATTCAATGTTACCTTTACATTAATAAATGGTCTGAAATAGACAACAATCGTTTTATATTAGAGCTAAAATAGTTGTCGAACGAACGGGAAATGAAATGGTTGAGAGCATGCAAATGGAACGAACATAAACTATCTTTTAAGCTATAGACTGTCTTTTATGGCATCTGTGGCAGTGGCGTAGCTACGTGTACGCCAAGTACGCCCAGGCGTACTCTCAAATTTTAAGGAAAAATAAAATTTACCTGATTAATTGTGATGAAAAATAAATATTTTACCAAGAGATAGAAATCGATGGGAGATCTATGAAGACTCGTGTTAATAAATAAAAAAGAATCACGTACAGATTGTTAAGATCCGAAATTGAGTTGAGACGGTCGTGTAACTGTTCTTTTATTGTTAATCATCTTGTGAGCTAGATAAAAACAAACACAGAAAAAATAATAATATTTCATGGAGAATGACCACAAAAGCTTAAAACAATGAGCCTCATACATACAGTTTTAGGTAGCCTAAAAAATAAAATCGCCTTGATAAACGGCTTCGATCGCCGATGGCATGATTATTGTAGATTGGGTTAATTTGGCGCCCGCTTTAATTTGGCGAATTTGGCGAAATTGAAAAATTCGCCAATATAAATCTCCGCCAAAATTTAGAATGAATCCCCGGGAATCATCTAGGGTATTTCGTCCAGTGTATTAAGGTCACTTCCGGTTTATTTTTCCAAAAATATGAAAAAATGTCTCTCATAAATTGGCTCAGAACTAGTCAGTCACTCATTTATACTCAGGGAAAAGTAGCAGCATCGATTGAGGTGTAAAAAGTAAAGGATGATCTCACAAAAATGTACAAACGTGGTGAATATCGCCATGGTGGTCCTCAAAAGAAAAAATGAACATAGCCAAACATGCCCATTTAGATCTAGATCTACATGGTATTTCGCAAACAGCGCGTAAGTTTAACATTCCATTAACATTTTTTTTGCATATCCGCCAAATTAAATAGCCGCCAATATGCCAAAAATGGCAAAATCGCCAAATTAAGTAGCGCCAAATTAACCCAATCTACAGTATATAGAATCTGTCTATTTTGTTTCCCGAATATTATCTGTTAATACAGTTAATTCAATCCCTTTAAAAAGCTATGTCAAAATGATCAAACAATACATATTTCCTTCATTGAATTAAAGAGTGTTTAGTGTGTCCCCTATCTTCTGAACACCCGGGATCTTCCTATTTTATGGAACCATCGTTTTGTTAATTTTGATAAAACCGGGAAATCATACGGGCGTACACTCGCAAAATGGGCTAGCTACGCCTCTGTGTGGTGTACAACTCTGATATATTGTTCTAAAACTCCTGGAGACACAGCATCCAGAGTCCTCCTTACATCTGTCCGAAACGTTTTCAACAACTGAAGTCTTGCAACACCTTGAAGGGGTCCTTCTCTCGGATCACTTTGTGCCATAACTCGTCATACAGTCGCTTCCAGCGAACGTCCATCTATAACATTAATTTGCAAAAGTTTTACATAAGTTTTATCAAACAGAAATTATCACTTGAAACTCATTCGCTGTCTTTTTCTAACAAAATCGGGACAGGAATATACAGAGTAAAATATAAGCAGCAATCTTTTAAATAAAAAAACATAAAGTTGTGTTCCTCAATCCCAAAATCTGAGAAATCAAAATCAGCTCTTCGCTTTCGGATGGTATATCAACTCAAATTACATTTTTGACGTCATGAAACTAATACTGAAACGAGGATGATACTAATTGTTTTGGGATCCAATGAGTTGGTTTCATCAAAATTAAACATCATGTTTACCCTAATATCGTCATCCTTTTGAGTTACATCATCCTAGGCGAAGCTGTTTCAGAGATGTTTGACTATTTTTGTAGTCATTTAAAATCAGAAGTTTATTTGTTCGCATGACAAAATATTTACTATATACAGAATGAAAGAGGGCAACTCACTGCCTCTTGGTGTTCTCGAGAGCCTCCTCGATTGGTTCCAGTTCAGATGCAAATCTCTTCTCCTCTGAAAGAATTGTTGAAAGAATCTGTCACATATTGATGGCACGGCTCTATTT